TCAATGTATCATTTAACGTGAGCACACACTGAAATCAATTAGGCTCGTTTGAGAATGCTCCAATAAATAGTACTATCGTTAATTAGAATCAATCGTAGGCGCGTCCATTCTGAAATCAGTGGATGGCGTGGGCGGACCGGGGACTTCGGTGACAGCAATCGTGCTCGGTTCGAAAAAGTTGTGAGGACTTAGGTAAACATTATGTTAGTGATGACATAATTGTCTCCGACAACAAAAATTGCTTTTTTATGAAATATAAAATATAATTAAGAATGTAACACAATACAACAATGTACACTCTGACACGTACGTCGAGCCACCTTGCATTTTCAGTATTAATTGGCCTAAGCTTAAACAATGTTTGATTGATCGAAAACTGCTAAGCTATTTTGAAATTGCTATACTAAACGTCATTTCCATGAGCCCTTGTTGATAATTTGAATTTATAAAACCGGGAAAAACTGTTTTCTACTGTGATAACAATATTTTTGTGTTCTGCCTTTTAAGAATAAAAATGTAAGGAGGCTCTATTTATGTGTCCGGGAGTATATAAATCATTACTATTATAACGACCTCGGTGGTCCAACGGCTTACATTGTGGATGCTAGATGAGGAGGTCACGGGTTCGATTTTTGGCAGGACCAAATTGAGAAATGAACTTTTCTGATTTGGTTCTGTTGTGGGTGTTCTGGGAAGTGTCCCAGAGTGAATTCGCTGCTCTGGTACTCACAGTACATGGTAAAGTCATCAATCAGATAAGTCTAATATTAATGCAAACTAACAACAAAAAGACTTTATCATCAGCCGTGACCATGGAACCTTTAAAAGGCCGAAACGTTGATTTGTTTGAAAAAACAAGTATATGCGATTTACATCCGAAAATATAGTTTCTTTTCTTAAGAAACAGTATTTAAAAGAGTTTCCTTCATGACATGGACTTCCATCTTCATTGTTGTATCGTCGCTCCTAATCGACCTAGCTCTATCTCAATTGGCTTATTAAGAAGCAAACAAAACGCAACAAGGGCGGCCAGCTCAGCGGGATTAATTTACTTCGTCGGCAACTGATCACAACGTATTCAGTCTGATTGATCTATTTACCCTGCAAACCAATTTCGATTCATTTACGTGATTGCTATTGCTCCTATGTGATGTGTTGTTCAGTCCACGGTCATTTCATTAGCCTAAATGCTTGATTATTTTGAAACCTGCTAAATAACTGTTTCGTAACGGCTGCTTCGTGTATTTATAAGAGGAAGTTTGGAAGTAGCTCTAGTGCTTCAAAAGTCGCGAAGTCCTTGTATGTGTATAGACATGTAATGTGGAATAAAGGTAGTCACATTACTTGAAAGATAATAATAATATTAATAATAAAAAAGAAAATATAAAATATATACTTGAATTCGGTCCGTAAATGCGTTGCAAACCAGCTAACCAGCTGAGAAGAATAAAGCTAGTATAATAATAATAATAATTGTTATTATTATTTTGTAAGTACGGGTCTTACAAAATTATTTCTACGCCCAGAAGTCATCTGCTCTACATGAAACTGTTCTGGGCGCAGACAATGGGTACACGCCTTTAGATCTTCTCCATTCCATAGCGCCGAGCCTCAAATAACTGATGCCACCTTTACGTGGTAGGTTTGCCCATGAGCTGAGCCTGTCGAATGTAGACTGCGCCTGCTAGGCTAGGCTAGGCTGCGCCTCTAACGGCTGGCTCAGCCGTGGAGACATTTTTTTCCGAAACAGAGGGGTTCATGGTGGCTATCCAAGACCAAGTAGTTCCGACAAGAAATTACCTGAAGTATATCGTGAAGGCGGAAGTGAAGATGATGGACAATGGCACTCATCACTTGTATTGGGACAGATCAGTCCTGACGGATGGACATATTCCACATAATAGGCCTGATATTATACTTGCGGAGAACACGAGTGGCGTGACATGGCCGCTAGATATCGGTATATCCAACACGTACAACCTTAAGGGATACACCGAGAAAAAGCTGAAAAAGTACGAACAACTATACGCTAAAGAGATTCGGCAGATCTGGCAGCAGCGAGAGGTGTATGTGGTGCCCCCCATTTTGTCCACCACTGGCGTTGTTGTATTGCACTCTAGAGTACTTAGACTCGCTCTTTTGAAGTTAACCCACAATTGACAGGTGTAAAAGCACAGGCAATAAGCATAGAATAGCGTTAAATTAAAATATTTATGTATGTGAACGGTTTTAAGCGTACAAGAAGATCAAAGAAAAGGTAGCCGCATTATGTACGTGATGGATATATACGTGAAAAGAGTGAACAAGGAGGTGACGGGTGATAAGATGAATGAAAGAAAAAGACATTGTAACCTATCACAAACTTAAATTTTTTTTTCCAAAATAACGTTTGTTCGACCGAAAACCGAATTATCATGAAACCTTTGTTCTTTCAGGATATGTTGGTTGTTTATCGCAAAGACACGATTAGGTTCGGTTAGGTTAGGTTAAGTTGGGGCAGGCCCCACGTGAATTCAGCGGGACCGCGCGGATGTGCGAGGAGGAGGGTCGCGGGGGGAGAGACGTGTCGGTGTGTCGTTGCCGCTCGTCCTGTCCTCCGCGACCCTGGCGGGGCTGCACCGCTTTTAATGATGCAGTGGCGGCGGGGCCGCGGGGGAAGAGACGTGTCGGTGTGTCGTTGCCGCTCGTCCTATCCTCCGCGGCCGAACGTGGGCGGTTGGCCCGTGGTGGGCGCTCCAAGCGACTCTCTTCGGAGAGTCCGCGCGGAAGCGCGTTAGGTGTTGCGGCGGAGCCTGTCATCAGATCCGCCGCGGGGGCTGGGGGAGCAGCCACTGAACTTCACAGTTGAGTGGATGCTGTCCTGGCCCCCCATGGCCCCTGGGTAGCGGACTCGGGGGAGTTCGTTGCCCAGCATAAAGGGGCCCGGGATGGAAGGCTCGTCTGGTGTTCGGCAAGCCTCACATTCGGAGTCGGGGGACCGATGTGTCTCCCTTCTCGAGGAGGGGCTGCGCAGGGCGCGGCCAGCCGCTGGTGGGGGCGCGGACGAGTGCAACAGCGTACCCGTACCCCCACCTACAGCGGAGAGGAGGAACACTCCGGGGGTTTAGTGCGGTCGGGCTGCTGCCCTTCAGGGTTCAGCCCAGTCCCACATAACCCCGGCTCTGCCCCCGCGGGGCCGGGGTATCTGTAAGCAGATTCCCCCGGATTAACAAAAAAAAAAAAGGCCCCACGTGAATTCGCGGTACGTCCTCGTCGTCTGCCCTGGACCCCATTCTACTTGGTGCGCGGTAACGCAGTGGCCAGTGGGTGGGTGATCAAATCCGAGACTTTCTATATGTGCGGGCAATTGAGGTGTTTTTGTGTCTTGCGGTGGTGTTTTGTTTTGAAAAACTGCGCCGGAGCTCAAGATCTGCTCCTGCAGTCCATGGCGCAGTGGCAAATAGACTTAGCGGTGGCCTGCGAGCCGCACTATATCCTTGCTCATGAAAACTGGGCAGGGGATCTGGACGGCCTAGTGGCGGTCGTGAGTGGCAGGCACGGGCCCCCCTCTCACGATCCTGGAAAGGGGCTCGGTGTATGTAGTGACTGGGTGGGGGGAGTACATAATAATTGGAACGTACTTCTCCCCCAACCGCTCCCTAGCGGAGTTTGAGACATTTCTTGACTCCGTCAGGACAGCGGTGTTGCGACGAGCGCCGAGGCAAGTTATTGTCCTCGGCGATCTTAATGCGAAGTCGCAAGCGTGGGGTAATGTCGTCTCTGACGCGCGAGGTGGTGATGTACAGATCTGTAGTATACTCTCTGGTTTGTCCCTCCTGAATAGAGGGACTGCTCAGACTTGCGTGGAACAACAGGAAGGGTCCGTTGTGGACGTCTCGTTCGCTACTCCCGCGGTCGTGCGCAGGATCAGAAACTGGAGAGTGGTGGAGGACGTGGAGACCTTGTCGGATCACCTATATATCCATTTCGAGGTCTCCGCGGTCCTTGGATTCGTAGACCGAGTCGCTTCCCACGCTGGGAGCTAAGTCGGCTGGACCGGGAGATGGTCGAGGAAGCTGCCATAATACAGCGCTGGTTCTTTGCCGGAGTGATAGAGGGCGTCACCGCCGACGATTTGGCGAGCCGCCTACATACTGCTCTGACTGCCCCGGGTCCGGCGACGACCTCCCTGCCATCAGGTCTACTGGTGGTCGGAGGAGATCGCGAAACTCCGAGCGGACTGCAATGCTGCCCGGAGAGCCTACGTCCGGTGCCAACGCCGTCACGGCCATGCCCCGGACATAGAGAGCCAGCTGTGGGAGACGTACCGCCTTAAGAAGAAGTCCCTGCAGTTGGTAATAAGCCAGGCCAAAACCCGTGGCAGAGAAGAACTCCTGGCCGGGTTAGATCGGGATCCATGGGGTCGTCCGTATCGTGCGGCGTGGAAGAAACTCCGTGCCCAAAGCGCTCCCATCACGGAGACCATGGCCCCGGATCTCCTGCGAAGGGTGGTAAGGGAGCTTTTCCCAGACCTTCCTGAGCACTCTCCCCCGGTAATGGCCCCACCCTCCTTACCGGAGGAGGGTCTCTTGCAGGTCTCCTCTGTTACTGAGGGAGAAATAGGAGCAACCACTGTTCCAACTGGGCAAAAAGACCGCACCGGGACCGAACGGCGTTCCGAGTCGGGTGTTGTACTTGGCAGCGGAATGCCTAAATGAGTTGCTCCGGGGACTGTTCGACACGTGCCTACGTAGCGGGAAGTTCCCGGAACAATGGAAGCAGGGCCGACTGTGTCTGTCGCAGAAAGAGATCGTCCAATCGACTCGCCTTCTGCCTACAGGCCCATTGTACTGTTGAACGAGACGGCCAAGCTCTTCGAGAGGGTCCTCGTTAACCGTCTCGTTAGGCACCTCGAGGATGTGGGGCCTGGTCTCTCGGAAGCCTAGTACGGCTTCAGGGAGGGGCGGTCTACTGTCGACGCCCTGAAGAGTCTCACGACAGACGCCGTGGATAAGGGGGAGATGGTCATGGCTGTTTCCCTTGACGTCAAGAACGCCTTCAACAGCCTTCTGTTCGAGACACTGAGAGAGGCGCTCCGGTAGCATGGAGTACCTCCCTATCTCAGAAGGCTTTTGGAGGCGTACCTCCAAGACAGGGTGGTTCTATGGGAGGACAGAGACGGGAGGCTACACCAGCGGCGCGTCGGGTGCGGCGTTCCACAGGGATCCGTGCTGGGCCCCATGTTGTGGAATGTTGGCTTTGACTGGCTCCTACGCGGTCCGCTCCTTTCCAGGACGAGGGTGATCTGCTATGCAGATGACACCCTCGTCACTGCTCGGAGCAGGACTTATGAAGAGGCCGTGCGGTTGAGCACCGTAGAGACATCTCTGGTGGTAGAAAGGATCCACCTGTTGGGCCTGAGGATCTCTATACACAAAACGGAGGCCCTCCTATTACATGGCCCGCGCAGAGGCCGCCCTAGGGAGGCAAGTATCACCCTTTTTGGGGAGACGATCCCAGTCAAGGCTCAGATGAAATATCTGGGCCTTGTACTGGACGGGAGGTGGAATTTCAGGACGCATTTTGCTCGCTCCGAAGCTGGTGGGTACCGCTGCCGCCCTAGGGCGGCTCTTGCCAAACGTAGGCGGATCAGGCTCGGTTTGCAGGCACCTGTACTAAGGAATAATCAGGAGTATGGCCCTGTATGGCGCACCGGTTTGGGTGGAAGCTCTCACCGCTCGACTTAAACCCTTCTTGCGGAGGCCGCAGAGGCTCATAGCGGTGAGAGCGATCCGGGGTTATCGCACGGTGTCGTGGACGGCGGCCACTCTTCTGGCGGGCGATCCTCCCTGAGAACTCCAGGCGGAGGTGCTCGCGGAAGTGTACCGATACCGAGCTGCCATGCAGGCCAGGGGGGAAAGGCCAAGCGCCGAAGTCCTGGAGAGGATCAGGGCAGCGGACCGCGTTGCCTTAATCCGAAAATGGACGGAGGACCTAGAGGCCCCAGTCGCGGGCTTAGTGACGGTGGAGGCAGTTCGCTCCCACCTAATCCGCTGGGTCGACCAGCGATATGGGTCTCTGTCCTACAGATTGGCGCAGGTTCTCACCGGACTTGGATGTTTCGGCGAATACCTGCACCGGGTTGCAAGTCGGGAGACGACCCCTGCCTGTCACGAGTGTGGCGCTCCCGTCGATACAGTGCGTCATACCGTGGCAGAATGTGCGGCATGGGGCCCCCAGCGGCACTCCCTGACCGCGGTAGTGGGCGGAGTTCTCTCGCTATCGACCATCGTGGGCGCGATGCTCGACAGTCAGAGGTGTTGGGATGCAATGGCCTCCTTCTGTGAAAGCGTACTTTCGCACAAGGAGGCCTCGGAACGGCTCAGAGAGGACGACCCCCTCGCTGACCCGCTCCGAAGACGGCGGCTGGGGAGTCGAAGGAGGCAGTACCCACCTTCTTCCCCCGCTGTAGTGAGCCGTGGGGACAGAGGTCGGGGGACCCTATCTCCAAGTCTGTGCTCACAAGTGTGAGGGTGCCTTTGTGTTGACCCGGGGCACTCTCTGAAGTGGGGGTTAACCACTGGGTTTTAGTGTGTATACCGGGCTAGAGCCCGGGAGTCACACATGACCGCTCGCAGCTCCCCCGAGCCGAATGGTACGCGTAACGCGTTTCCCAGAGATAAAAAAAAGGTTTAAAAGGAAAAACATTTTCCTCTCAAAATTACTTTCGAGGTTATAAAAATTCGAGCAAACGTTATTTCTGGAAAATGTCATTTCGGACTACTGATAGGTAACCAAAAGACATGCCTGACCCGGAATAAACGCATAAGTGCAGAAGGATGTAATGAATAGTTAGTACGTAGTATTCAATATTCATTTTGTTTACTGGCTAACTGGTTTATAGAGTTCAATATCTAATAGTAATAATAAAGAAATACGATGACGTGTGTGGTATCGGTTATGCTTAATAAATCCAAATCTAATTAACAGTCTTAGGAAATGTAAACTCTCCTTCCCGTGAACGCCGATTAATCTTACCATTTGCATCGATTTGAATGCTGATTGGAATTATGCGAGTTACCAATACAGCCAGAAAATTCACATGATTCTGGTTTCCGAAAAACTAACATACACTGTCTACTTATGTAGACAGTTTTTCTTATTTGTCTTAGACTTATAAATAAATAAACTTATACTCGTAAGTATGAAATGTGACGTTAAATAAAGCCAAAGATTAACCCAGATGCGAATGGTGTAATTACATATTATTATTTACATCATAGGTTCCCAAATTTTTTGGCTCACCTAGGCAAGATAAAAAAATTTCAATGCCCACCACCATAAAAAATTATTGAAAACACGTATTTATTATATTCACTTACACAAAAAATCACATGGAAAAAAATTTATTGAATAAATTATAATAATATAATAATAATTATAATAATAATAATATAAAGTATATATTTATATAACATATATAATAAAGGTGTTAAGTGGTTATTTAATTTTTAATATCCATTTCCTGAGTGATAATAATACTCGTTTTTATTATATTCCGCCTGTACCACTAAGTTGAACTGTCACGCCTTAGGGCGGGCGTACATAACACGCTATCCGATTTACGCTCTAGACTGTTTTATTATTGATTTTATTAATTAAAAACTCGGCATATAAATAGAATTTGGTCAATAGAACATTCATGCCATTTACGGGTAATATACGAATACCAAACTACTGAATTTACATACGCAAAACGCTTTGGCACCATGCCCCGAAGTGGGAATGATTTTTGCGAGACAACTACGCTGTTCGGATTACTAGCATTATTTTGTCTTTAAGTCTGTGTGTGTAAATATTAAATAGGTCGAAACATTGAGGAGTACAATAGCCTATTGTATATAAAGAGGGCTGATGGCGCAGAAAAGTACTAAAAATAAATGGACCGTAGAACGCTTTTATCATATTTTGTTTGGATATTTCTTTATCTGTCATATCTTCAGCATAGGTGATATGCTCTCTTACAAGTTAATACCTCGATATTCCATTGATTGCCAGTTTGTGTAAAGGCAAATACCTCAATACAAAACACTGACATGGGAGAACAATGAGTATACTGCGACAGATATGCCCGCAATTAATAGATATCAGTTTTCTGTTTAATTAACTGGGATATTAATTTCATTATGTGTTGAGCTATTTGGTGGGATTAAATCGCAGGCAACTAACATGCGCACTCGCAAACTAGATGAGACTCTTGTCGCTATCTGTAATTAGGATCGAGAGCGAAGTGCCTCGCGACACAAGGGACTTCCGGATGCAGTATACCTTTCCGTGACAGGAAAGAAAACTAAATAACTTCAGGGACTTTACGAGATGACAAGAAACAATTAATTACCAACACAATAGCATCACAAATAAGAGCAAACTTTTTGAATCATTGAAGTAATATAAATATAAACAATTTTTTGAATAATACCCACTTGGATTTTCAACTCTATTAGAACATAAAACTTATTAGAGAGGTACGGAGATCAGTATCCTATTAATAAACTATATCTATCCCACTCTATTTACTGTTTACTACGAAATCCAATAAGGCATTCAGGACCATAGCAAACACAGCGTCTGCAGGAAGAATAGCGCTAATGGATTGTTGTTACTGACTTAGCTTAATTAAACAAGCCGGGAGTCGACACTCAGACTCATAATACTGCTAATTAAACGCGGGTTTACACAGATCCGAAAAAGAGCCACTCAAACACGCTTAGCTGGTATTATTACAGTGTATTCAGGAGGCTCGGCAAACAGGCCCTCGTCGCAAGGGTGCTACTCTCAAGTTTCGCGTTTAATTAGACAGATAGAGGCGCAGACGGGCCTTATTAGTATTGTCTACGGGGGCCCAATTAACACCCGGCAGGCGCCGTGGGTGGCTCCAAGTTCGTTTTAATAATCAAGGGATACCGTTGGCTTCGTTAGCCGAATAATAGGATCGGATGCCCCCGATGCCTCACATTAGAAAAAGTTTATTTAAACGGCCATAAAGTGAACGCGGGACTAGGCGAACGAGGATCAAGCGCGCCAAACCATAGTGGTGCACTGTTTTGGATATCGTGTTACAAAATATGAAATTAATTGATATTGTGTCGTACGTAGTTCGTATATTATGCACTATATCATAATTATTTTTTTGCGTGGCTACGATTAAATAAGTATTTTAAATATTCATAGTCAAAATGATCACGTTGATGATGATTTGCATAAATGGATGCGATATCAATTAAAATTATAAAGTGAAAATGGTTTCTTCATTATTCTTGGTAAAATGTTATGGAAGACTTATGCAAAGTGTAACACATATTCAAATTAAATTTTAGTCCGAGCATCCTGCTCGTTACTTCTTCGTAGAAGTAGCTTAACTTTATAGTGCAGAACTGCTTAATTTAATAAGATGGTGGTGCAATTAATTTGCATGTAAGTATTAAATTGCGTTGTGAGTCTTGTAGCAGGCTGCAATGCCGGCCATAAAACTCTCATTACGTGCAAGCAATTTCTCTCATTAATGAATATTGCGGAAACGTGGTAATAGGTGTAAATTTCCCAAAGGTTGATGTGGGTATGGCTGCAAATTAAGGTTTACAATATTATTTACTGGTGGTCGACAACAGGGGTAATCATTTTCGTTATTTAATAAGCACAAGGCCACTTGTCCCTGTAGCTATACCAATATTTAATATTAAGAATAAATATTACATTTATTAATACAACACGATCGAACACTAAGAAGAATTTCGATCCGGCTGTATTCGAACCAGCGACTTTAGCATACCGTGCTGACGCTCTTCCAACAGAGCTACGGAACGTACGATGATATTCAATAGACTTAATATTAAGAATAAATATTTCATTTACATTGGTGTAGTCATCTACATTCAAATTCAAATCCATGTTAGGGTGCAACACTACCCTGTATTATGTTTAACAAGTACAAGTCCTTGAGTGCAAACCTTGCACTGGCATTATTGCCCCAGAAAGTAGCGGACCAAAATGCAAGCGCATGCGCACGCCGGCGCGCATGACTTGTCAGCACTAATAACTTTTTCTCAAAACACTAATGAATAACTTACTCCTTATTACTGGGCACGTTTTGCCACTTCAGGCCGCCGGAGACGCGGGGAAGGCAGCCCCGCCTCTGGCGCCAATCTTACAACTTACCATTAAGTAATTTTCATCAAGATTCATGTTTTACTTAATGAACTTCTGTTGGTAGTGGAAATGCACTAACCTTTTCTGGGAAACAAGCGCTACGGCTTTTAGATTAATTGTTTTCTTGAATTGAATAGATAGAACTCGCTTTGTTAATTTTAGATAGATGTACTCTCGCTCAGAGTGCTTTTCCTAGATATCAACGCAAGCAATTGATACTTTGTTTCATTATTCTTATTCACGCTCTACATTTCAAAATGCCATAATTCATTGTGCATGCCGTATCAGAATTGCTAATTGAATTATTAACTGCATACAGCTAATTACAATGATTATACCTACGGATGTTTGTTTTAATTAAGTACTGAGAAGTAATTATTGAAGTTGCACATATCATCTTTTTACTTCCTAACGATGTGTTTTTGCATAGGATGACTTCCTCCGACCTGACGACCTCCGCACACCAGTCTAGCACACCAGTTTTCATGGTGTTGCACTACTAAAATACGGAAGAGGTGCTCAATTCGACTGTATGTTTTTT